ATCAGAACTGGCTTTGACAAGCACTGTGGCAATTGGGCAATTAAAACAGACTTTCAAGGGGGGAAAAAGAAGAATGAACTGGGGAGGAGGGTAGAGAAAATAGTGCAACAATGAATGAATGAAAACCCAAAATCTCTGTAAATGTTCATTAAAATGAATAAAATTTAATATAAAAAAGAATTATGGACACAAACATTTTGATAGCAATATTTTAAATATTGAAGACACTGAATATGGACTGCTTTAATATAGTATTATAGACTCTAGATTATTTAAGAAAAGAGTTGAGATTATTTGTTTTAAAGAATTAAAATACTTTCATTTCATATGGCTTCTCGATTTTTTTGAAGTTATGACTAGCATAGAGGGTATTGTGTCCAACAGCGAAGGGCCTTTGGATTTGTTACAAGCTGATGAGGAACCACTGTTTTGACCATGATGTTCCCTGAACTCGTCCATTCGTCACACATCTTTCTTTCTTTAAGATATTGTTGAATCTTCTCTCCTGTTTCAAATGACTTCCCAACCTCTGTTACTCCCTCATACAGAATTTTACAATTTTCTTACTCAAATGTCACTTCTTTTGTGAAACCTCCACCCATTAGGAACTATCGCCTATGTTCTCTGCTTGCTTCATGGATACTTTTATTTATCTCTTTAATTCATATAACAGACACTGGAATGTTTAGAGGTACCACATTGTCTCATAATTTTATTATGTGCTACTCAAGCAAGAATGCAAACTTTTGCATACACGGACCATTTCTTAATGATTCTTGAATCCCCAGAGTTTAGTACATATAGGAATTCAGCAAATGGCTGATTCACAAACTAAAGGAATAAAAAAAGAATAAAGAACAACGAATACCTTGGACTGTGTGAATCACACGCCTTCTGGCTATAGAGGAAACAAAGCAGAAAAAGGAGAGGAAGAAGTGGAAAGTAGATTATAAATTTTAAGAAAACACCTGTAAGTGATTCAGTGACAAAGAACAATTTTTCCACTGTTCTAAGTAGAAGCTGCTGGCACCCATTTCTCAGCAGAGAAAGGGCACCAAGATACTTTGTCCTCAGTGTATTTTATATTTGTTATCAAATCCTAATCTTTAGATTCTGTCAGCCAAGTCACTAATTGCCTTTTAAGTTGACTATGGAGTGGATATTAAAGTTGTTAATGTCTGCCAAAGGGAAAGATAAACAAAATCTGTGTAAGTGGAAAGGGATAGGCTGGTACAAATGTAGGAAATCTCATGTACCTTGAGACTAAAGATACAGAGACCTGGGTATAAGAGAAAGACCCAGTCTCCTTTCATGTGCCCCAACCCTTGGGTCTGCCACAGTATCCTGCGTGCTGGTGGGAAGCTGAAAATCATCACCATGAAGATCCTGGTATTCATCTTAGTTTTTCTACACCTCTCAGAGGGGTTGGAAAGGTGTGTGGTATTCAATTTCATTGTGAATCCCAGCCCTCGGGGAGCCTAACAAGATAAACCCAAACTCAAACTCTTTGGCACTGAATGGGAACCGACACATACTTGCATCTCTCCTGGGCTTCTGAGTAAAAATACATGGGAGAGTACTGTACTGTAAATGACATTGGAGCAGGTTAGCCTTCTCTCTTGCTCATAGGGAAGGTGGATTTGAGCAATCCAGGGAGGTGCAAACTGGGTTAGCAGCAAAACTTCCTATGGACCAGGTATCCAGAACTCCCTCTGAAAAAGATAAAGGAAACTAATGGCTTTGAAACTCTCAGACTTCTTGGAGACACAGTCAGGGTGTCTGTAGACCAAGAAAAGAGCATTCACTGAGGCCTAAGGCTGTCATGTGTATGTAAATCTCAGTCTCTCTCTCCTCCTCCTCCCCCTCTCTCTGAATGTTTGTGTGTAAGGGTGAATTGAGTGTTTTATTTTCCAAGAAGGAAAGATACATAATCCTTGTTCTAGGATTGTAGGATACATTAGGAAGAGACAGGCATTATTCTTGGGAAATAATACAGAAACTAAAACAAAACCAAAAGGTGTGAGTTTGTGTTGGAATGCTCCAGTGGGTTCAGCGGTTAGAGCCAGCTAAAATCAGAGGATTTCCTGTGAGAAGGCTGTCCTTGAGTAGCATCATGAAGATGGTTGGAGAGGCCAGATGCTTAAAGGAATTGTTTCAATGGGGCAAGGTGAAGTTCATCCCTTTTGTTTATCTCTGCAGAGTCATTCTGAAGAAAGGCAAGTCTATTCGTCAGCTGATGAAGGAGCGTGGTGTGCTGGACACATTCCTAAAGACCCACCCAAGGATTGATCCGGCTGCCAAATATTTCAATAATGATGCTGTTGCTTATGAGCCCATCACCAACTACTTGGATGTGAGTGAGTGGGGTGACTGTCCATAACCCTTCACTAATAACCATTCTTAGGCACTAATTTTTACTTCACTTTAGCTGTAATTTTTAAGTACTTACCTAACCTCCCATGGAGCACCTTGGTGGCTCCAAACCGGGTACCTTTGGGATTGCAGTGCAGCTTCTTCCACTAGGCCACAAGAGGTAGCCTATCAATTACTTGCTATGCTTCAGAGAGCTGGACAATGACTAGGGATGATAGAAGGCAAATTGATGCCTTTGAGCTGTGGTGCTGGAGAAGAGCACTGAATATACCATGGACTGCTAGGAGAACAAACATGTTCATCCTGGAGAGGGTGAAGCCAGGTTGCTCCTTGGAGGCAAGGATTCTGAAGCTTCGTCTGATATACTTTGGACATGTTGTAAGGCAGGATCAGTCTTTGGAGAGGGACATCATGCTTGGGAGGGTGGAAGGACAGCGCAGGAGAAGATCCTCGCTGAGGTGGATTGATTCTATGACTGGGGTAATGGGGATAGGTGTGTCAAGACAATAAGAGTGCCATGGGATAGATCAGGGTTTAGGGCTGCTGTGCATAGGGTCTCTGTGAGTCACAGGTGACTCGACAGCACATAACAACAACAAGTGAACCTTTCTGCCTCACCTTCTATTTGAATGATAGATTTGTAAACTGGTACCATCTTTCTATCCTCTTATTACTGGCTCCTCTTTTTAAAGTTCATACATGTGATTGTTTAAAAGATTCATAAAGTGAATGTTCCAGTCAGTTGTGAGATCCAAAGAAAGTCCTAGCAAAGAGCTACAAGGAGAAAAAAGAAAAAACATCAGGCCATTCAATAAATCTCTGCTGATTCCAGATACCAATTCTCTCCCCTCTGTACTCTTGATCCCTTGCTGGTATTCAGAGCAAATGTTTTAATGTCCTCAAGGCTGTATGTCTAATCAGGGCATCTCGACATTATAGTGTGTTGAGAACTTATCCTTAGTGAGATATATGTACACTGTTGGAGCTAGGAGACACCTTGTTGTTAGGTGCCATCAAGTCAAGTGTGACCCATATCGACCCTGTGAACAACAGACATGAGTCTGTCCTATCCTGTGCTGTCCTCGTCATCTCTGATACACCTGGCCCTACTGCAGCACTCACCATGTCAATCCATCTTTTTGGGGTCTTCCTCTCTTTTGCTGATCCTGCATCTTTCCAAGCTTGATATCTCTTCGTAAGGAATAGCCTCTTCAAGCAACATGTCCAGAGTATGAGAGATGAAGTTCACCATCCTTGCCTCCAAAGAGCACTCTGGTTGCACCTTTTTCAAGATATATCTGTTTGTTCTTTTGGCAGCCTATGGGATATTCAGCACTCAATTTCAACTCCCAAGTTTTAAAAATCATCACCTCACCAGTAGTTATTTCCAAGGCTTATTCATTACCCCAAATAGAAACTTTAGCCGTTAAGCAATCACTTGCTATTACACTCTCCCCCTAGTCTCCAGTAACCACTAATCTATTTATTTCTATACAGTTGCTTATTCTAGACACTTCATATATGTGGAATCATACAACATTTGTCGCAGCATCTCTGTCTTACTTCATTTGCATGTTTCCATAGTTTATCCATGTTGTGACATGGATCAATATTTCATTTTCACTTATAGATGTACCATGTTTTGTATAAACATTCATCTTTTGATTTACACTTGAATTGTTTCCACCTCATCTCTATTGTCTACAAGTGATCTGTTTCAGTTCCTCCTTTCAATTATTTTGCAAATATACCTGGAAGTAGAGTTTCTGGGTCATACGACATTCCACATTTTCTAGATGAAGAAACCAGAATCAAGTAAGTGAAATAAATGACCAGAGTCATGTAGAAAGGAAACTGTCTCTTCCTGATCTCTCTCTGTGTTGCCTTTCGCCCCAAATACTTTTAGTCTATACCCTTTGTTAGTGAGTGACCAGGAAACGTGGCAAAATTATCTAACAGTAGAAGAAAAAGGGGAAAGGATGTATGTGTGTGTGTGAGATAGAGGGAGAGAGAGACAGAAGAAGAGAGAGAAAGAAAGTAGAGTAGGTGGGGAGGGCTAGATGGACATTGGAAAAGGGAAAGAAAAGTGATTACTTCTGTAATTCAGGGTGTTTTGTGATACTTGGCAAATCCACAGATGTATTATTCTTAGGGAAAAGAAAAAAATCGTGTAAATAAAAACCATATTAATCAGTTGGGAAAAAAAAATCAATGAAAACATGCTGTGTGAATTAGTTGGTTATATGTAATTTGTAATCAAGAATATGTTGCATTTTATTATTTATAAATTATGTGCATGCTTTTCTATCAATAAAATTTGTAGTAAATATATGGGAGGAAGTTAGAAAACACACTTGGAGAGGTGATGTCTTGCCCGTTTGAATCTTAGATAGTCAAAGAATCAAATTTTCAATTAGGGACAAAACTGTAGAATACCTTGAGGTACTATTCCCCGATGGTAAGCAGAATTTGTGTGGGAGATACCTTTTACTTTCCTAAGGAAGTATTTTGGAAAAGTGTGCTAATATTTTCCTTATCCTTGGACAAAGCCTAGAGCTTAATGAAGTTAACACACATTTCTTTGCAGTCATTTTACTTTGGGGAGATCAGCATTGGGACACCACCCCAAAATTTTCTGGTCCTCTTTGACACTGGCTCATCCAATCTGTGGGTACCCTCCACCTACTGCCAGAGCCAGGCTTGCTGTAAGTACTCCCCACCTAATCACTATGCACCCCATGGCTGGAAGCAGAGGAGGGGCGGGGAAAGGGATTGAGTTACGAAATGACCAAGTAAGAATTTGAGCTAAGATATAGAATTACAAGACCAAAGTTCTCTGTACATATCTATTATCTCATTATCCTTGCTTTATGAGCAGCTAGAAAACTTGCCTTTTAGTTTCCCAAAAACCTTAGCAAATGTTGCGAATTAATTTGGAGAGAAGCAGCAGAACTACACTAGGCTTCCATGCCTGTATACAATTCCCCCTCCCCCCAGCACTTACTTGTGGCCCAGAATTCTTGGCTCCTCTGAGCTGCTACTTCTCCCAGGTCATGGTGAGTTGGGAGGAACTTGGGCAATGACTGTGATCTAAGGGGACAGACTTTTAAGGAATCTCCAGTTTATTTATGATACAAAGGATCTGAGATGGAGGCCTTTTTAAGCCCTGGTCTGATGATCTTGGGATATTGAGAATAAATTGCTTCCAATGATTTCTGAAAAGCAGCAAATGACACTTATATTCTTTTCTGTCTTTCTACAGATAATCACAACAGGTTCAACCCTAGCCTGTCCTCCACCTTCAGAAACAATGGGCAAACTTATACACTGTCTTATGGCAGTGGCAGCCTTAGTGTGGTCCTGGGATATGACACCGTGACTGTGAGTGACTTTCTTTTAGCCTCTGAGAAATTGTGATCTTAGTCTCATTTTTCTAAAGTCTTAAGCCATCAGAGAAATCTATGCTTACCAATTAGGCACAATCTTCAAAGAAACTGAGAGCTGGAAATGACGTTAAAGGCCATCAACAGTCCCAAACTAGGAAATGCTTTCATAATAGTTCTAACAAGTGGCTGCAGTTCTAACTGTGGAGAGCTCTTTATGTTGTACTAAAGCTTATCTTCCGGGGACTTTGCTCCCTGGTCTTAATAGAAGAAATCTGCCTCCTTGTCTACACAGTAGCATTTTGGATAATTGAAGACATGTCCTTTCACTCTTTTCATATTTCTGTAGGTCAGACATTCACTCTTCCTCTAATCATTTCTTCCATATGGTTTGTTCAGCATAAAACTAGCTACTATCCTTTCACTGTTCATGGAAATGGAAATTGGAACTCCAGAAAACAACTGCCTTTGCTTCCCCACCCCTCATACTTCCCCCTCAACACTGCCCTAAACACACACACATGATACTGTTGATAGACAGATAATACTGTTGCCCTTCCACTTCCACTCCCACCCTCATGAGCCAATTTCCTCTTTCCAGGATAGGTTCTAGATTTCAAATCTTAGGCACCTAAATCTGGGAAGGATTTGTCCACCTGAATTGTAAACTTCTTTGTTTGGCCCAGATTCAGAACATTGTCATCAACAACCAGGAGTTTGGCCTGAGTGAGAATGAACCCAGCAATCCCTTCTATTATTCCGACTTTGATGGGATCTTGGGCATGGCCTACCCAAACATGGCAGTGGGCAATTCCCCGACAGTCATGCAGGGCATGCTACAGCAGAGCCAGCTCACTGAACCCATCTTCAGCTTCTACTTTTCTCGGTAAGATTGTGTCATTTGGCCCCTTGTTTGACTTTGGAAGGGGAGTTTTAGTGGCCTAGTGGCAAGAAGCTGTGCTGCAATCCCAAAGGCATGCAGTTTGAGGCCACCAGGTGCTCCACAGGAGGATGGTCAATCATGCCCTGTGCAATTAACAGCTTCTGAAAACCTGCTGGATTGTCAGTTATTGGTCAATTCTAGGTCAACAGTACTCAACAACAACAACTGGCTTTGGAACCCTCATGAAGCCCACATCTAAGATCAGATATGACCCAGAAAGTAAAGCTTTCTGACACAATGCGTGTAACTTGCTATGTATAATCCATGAATTTTTTTTTTAAGAAAGTGTGAATAATTTAATCTGGGATGGAGATTCATTTTAAAAGCCCTGTAAGAATTTTTAATTATGTTGGGTGAAAAACTATTTGGATGATCTCCTCCCTCTAAAACTGAGCAATATTCTACCACCGTTTTTTAAAAAATATGGAAATCAATATCTTAGATTTCCCCAACTCTATAGAACAAGCCATATGACATGCGCTAGTAAAGAGAAAGAGGATGAAATAATAATTAGAATAATGCCTCCACTTTATAAAATATTCTGGAATCTATTGCTTCTAGTGACATCTCAAAACCCCATGTTACCAGTGAGGAAGTGGAGGCTTGGACTGGCTGCCAATACTAATGACTGGCACACGTGGAGCTAAGACTTAACGTGATCACACAGCCAGTACTTTTTCACGTTTCTTACACACACACAGCTCTCAGGGTATCCTGTATTAAAAACTTCTTTCTTCCATGGCTTGCAGATTCAGAGTAGTGATCACAAGGGGCTTACCTCCTTTCAACATTGTCTAGTTCTCAATTTCACCGTGTTGGGTGCATTCTGGTCACAGTATACATGAGATCTCTGTTGGAACCCTTTCTAGGGAATCCTGGAAATATTTCTGCTCTTTTTTACTTTGTCTCAGAGAGAATTGTTTGGATGCTTTTATAGTTTATCTTCCCGTGCCTAGTTTCCAACTCAGTCTCCCCCTTTAAGGATGTCATTACTGCTCTTACTTCTCTAATGCTTATGTATTACTCCTAGAAGTTTCCTCTTCCTTAAAATGTTGAGCTAGATGACTCCCTGTACTCCATTCTTCTAATCTATGAATCTGAAGGAGAAAAGAAAAATGGAGAAGAGAGAGCAGTAGCTTTTCACTCATCTTGTGGTAACTCATGCTTCTTCTACATTTCCATGCAGTCAACCAACCCGTCAGTATGGTGGGGAACTCATCCTGGGAGGTGTGGACACCCAGCTTTATTCTGGTCAGATCGTCTGGACCCCTGTCACCCGGGAACTCTACTGGCAGATTGGTATCCAGGAGTAAGTAGAGAGGACAGTGACTGAATGGTGGATGTTTTTTGAATGCTCCACCACCGTGACGATGTTTTCTACACCTATCATGACCGACACCCTCCCTTCACATTGCACAGGTCTCTCAAATAATTGACTAAACTCTCCATGTTGAAATGGACTTGGAGCCTCATCAGTGTTGATAGCTAGTTCTTGTCTGAACTTTCTGAATTGTTGTTGTTAGGTTCAGTCATGCCAACTATGACTCACAGTGACCCTATGCACAATAGCTCTGACCCCTGCCCTATCCTGAGGCAATATTATTGTCTCTGACACACCTGTCCTCATTACCCCAGTCACTGAGTCAATCCATCTTATCCAGGGTCTTCCTCTCCTGCACTGTCCCTCGACCCTTCCAAGCATGATATCCTTCTCCAAAGACTTGTCCCTCCTGGTTACATGCCCAATGTTATATGAGATGAAGCCTCAAAATCCTTTTTTAATTAGTCACCTGAATATTACTGTTCCCGCCGATGCCGATCGGCCATTCCTACATCAATCTACGTCTTTGTTCCTGGAAGTTTCATTGTCATTATCATCCATGTTGAATGTTTGAAACATCATCTTTACCACTTTCTTTATTAGGAAAAGTAATAACTATCATTGATTGCTTTTAAATGAGCCAATCAGTATGCTAACTATGTTGCATGTATTACTGCATAAGATATGCACAAAACTTGGTATCCATGAGAAGGCTAGGGTGCTCTGGTGGCTTAGTGGTAGGGAGTTGTGTTGCCAACTCAAAGGGATGAGATTTTAACCCACCAGCTGCTCTGTAGGAGAAGGATGGACAATCTCTTCCTGTGCAATTAATTGCCCTGAAAACCCACTGAAGGGTCAGCGATGAGTTGGTTCTGACTTGATGGTATATAACAATAGCATAAGAAGGCCAGGAGTAGGTTTCATTTTGTCTGTCAATAAAGAAACAAAACCATGCCTTTCGTAATGTGAGGATTGAACACAAAGTGTTATTTCCAAAGTTCACAGTTATGATCATGATCACTACCAGTAAAGGCACAGAAGCATTACATGGGCAGGAGACCCATGTATATTACATGTAATATTGGTGACCTGGTTTTCTGGAAAAGGAAGAATGTTAAGGATGCTGAGTTAGGGGGATAAAGGATTGAACTTATTCCATGCCACAAACCTGAAAGGCTCATCTTGTCCTGGTCTCTTTCTTAGGTTTGCTATCGGTAACCAGTACACAGGCCTGTGTTCCGAGGGCTGCCAGGCTATTGTGGATACTGGAACCTTCTTGCTGGCTGTTCCTCAGCAGTACATGAATTCCTTCCTTGAGGCAACAGGAGCCCAGCAGGCCCAGAATGGTGATGTGAGTAACTACAGGCCAACCTCCTCTTCACAGACAGGCAACTTCAACACAGGAGCCTGGGTTTAGTGAGTTCACAAAGCTGAGGTAGAAAGACTTCCAAGGCTATAATTTCTTTTTATATTTAATATTTTTTTAGATTGGTTTGCTTACAAAGTTCATATATATTGTGTTTCACACTATCCTTCAATCACATTGTGTTTCGTATAATCATTCCCATTAGTTATATTTTATAAAATTAATCAACATAGAACTATGTCCACCATTTCCCTGCCTTTCCAGATACCCGCTGAGGCTGTAATTTTTAAGTTTGAATGCCTGGAAGGACAAATTAGCATGGAATTTCTGGCTATGAGTCATCAGTGAAAGGCAGGGTCGAATATCTAGACAGAGTGTAGGGTGAATGGTGGTCAGGAGGTGATTTTAATTCATTGCAGGTCCTAGGAACACATCACAACTTTGCCTGGTCACTGTCATAACTTCATTGAAATGTTAGAGTCCGAGGTCAATACATTTCTTCATTCCACTTGGGTCTCTGTCTTCGCTAAAAAGATATCTTTTAGTATTCCTCTAAGTAACCTCCTTTCTACACACCAATCATCTTTGTACACCTGTTTGTATTTTCCTTCTTGTTGTACATCAACTTCCAAATTCTAGTTCCAAGAAAAGAGAGGGGGTGAGAGAGGAAGAAAGAGAGATGGCAAGAGAGGGAGAGAAGGAGAAAGAGAGAAGGGGAGAGAGGGAGAGGAGAGAGAGAGGGAGAGGAGAAAGAGAGGGAGAGAGAAACTCATGGACATGGTACACAAATGTGGAGATGAGTTTACACAAGATTATGCTTTAGCAAGTGTGATAATACTCACACTTTTTTCTGTAGGTGTATTTTCAGAGGCTAGAAATTATGTAAGCAGGATTTCTTATGGTCAAACTAACACAACCAAAATCTAAGAGCTGAGACATGTTTGAGGAGAGGCCCAGGAAAGCAAGAGGTTCCAGAGTTTTGTCTAAGAAGGTAATGTCCCTTATACCTGAAGCAACATCTGAGGAAGTCAAGGAAAGTCTTGCACAGGACTCAGAGAATTCAGAGTGTTGAGTGCTTGTCTGGGGTCCCAGTCCTTGAGGCTACTAATCTTTACCTCTCTCTTTTTTTCCCCCCTCTCAGTTTGTGGTCAACTGCAACTACATACAGAGCATGCCCACCATCACCTTTGTAATCAGTGGGGCCCAGTTCCCTCTGCCTCCTTCTGCATATGTCTTCAATGTACGTATTCACCTCTGCTCTCTCTAGATCCTGTAAAGAAGTGGGCCCAAACTGCTATCCTATGTCCCCACTTAAATCTGGGCAGATATAAGTGTAATCACCAGGGGCTAGGCTGAGGCTGAGTAAAATTTCAGAGGCCTCTACTAGTGTCATGGGAATATGGGGTGGAGGGAGTTCCTGCGGGGAAAGGGCTTTATGATACAACTGGCTATATCCTCCTGTTTTTGTCTTTGTAGAACAATGGCTATTGTAGGCTTGGAATTGAGGCCACTTACCTGCCTTCTCCCACTGGACAACCGCTGTGGATTCTGGGAGATGTCTTCCTCAAGGAATATTACTCGGTCTATGACATGGCCAACAACAGGGTGGGCTTTGCTTTCTCTGCCTAGACTAGCCAGAGTTGTCTGTCTCCACCTCTCTCCACAGGGCCTTGTGGTTTCCCTGAGGTTTCTATGGGTCAGTGGCAGAATTTCCAATGATTCTGACCCCTTGTCCCCAGGGAAGTCTTACTTTCTACAAGTAATAAATTGGAAAATACTACACATCATTGATGTTCTTTCTACAGTGTCTTCTTGTGTTCTGCTTTTATCAGTTTATTCCAAATGAAAACTTATAACGTAGTGATCGTTGAGTCAACCCCATTCATGCATGCATGGTGAACTCATGTGTGTCAGAGTAGAACTGAACTCCATAGCGTTTTCAATGGTTGATTTTTCAGAAGAAGGTTGTCTGGCTTGTCTTGCAAGGCAACGTGGAATGGGCTTGGACCTCCAACCTTTCAGTTACAACCAAGGGACTCCAGATTAAAATCTAGCAACACTTATTTTAGAGAATTTTGCAATTAATTAGTGTGAAGCCTCTGGGTATAGATCTGCAAATGGTATAGTCTGTAGGGAACTGTGCTACTAGCCCAAGGGTTGCACATTTCTGATGGTTCGAATCTAGCTGTCCCTCCAAGGAAGAAAGATGGAGAATCTCTTCTTGTGCTGCGGGAGGGGTCAGCTGTGAGTCCACTGAGACTCTACAGCAATACTTCTACATGGGAAAGTCTAATGGGCCAGTGTAAAGCCTCCCAGCAGTCTCTACCTCAATTTCCTTCCCCCCCACCCCGCCCCGACCCTTAGAAAAGAACATGAACCAGAGACTTATCAATGTAAGAATGTTAGAGGGAAAAATATCTTAGTATTTCAAGCAAGTGATCTGAAGTTCAAACCTTATTAGAAAACTTTTTTTGAGAGAAGCAGCACAGTCTTTTGGGTCCCTAATAGCATAATTCTAGTTTTCTTTTCCATCCGTTTTTGGATGGTCTTCACTATTTTGCTTGCATATGATATTTGATAATTTCCACATTCTATGGAATCACTTTTCTTGGGACTCGGAACAAATAGGAACCTCTTCCAGTTGGTCGGCCAAGCAGCTGTGCTCCACATTTCTTGGCATGAACTGGTGCGCGTGTCCAGGCTTGTGTCTCTAGTTAAAACATGTCAGTTGGTATCCCATCAACTTCCTGGGGCCTTTTTCTTTTTTGCCAATGAGTCACCTGTAACTCGATGCCACTAACAATAACATCAACATAGAGAGATCAGCTGGCCCAGTGGACAGAAAGCGATGCTACCAAGCCAAAGGTGGGTGACTTGTAATCCGCGGCCCTCGGGCCTGTCTTTCCTTGTTTCTGTTCAGACATTCCTCTAGGTCGTATAGCCCTGGCGTACAAGTTGCCGTACAGCGGTCACTTGTGGTTGCTGTGAGGCTGAACACTGTGACACTGATGTGTCAAATGTGTTAAGGGTTGGTTACCCAATGTGGACAGAGAGCGGGGTGGAGCTCCCTGATTAAAACAAGCTTGGAAGCAGGAATGGCATCCACTTCCGTAATAGCTTGCCTCCGGAAACCCTCTGAACCTGGAGAGAGGATGAGAGACACACAAGTATTGAGGACTCTCCTTCTTAGGGTCGCTATGAGTTGCCTGCGACTTGACGGCACTTAACAACAACAACAATGGCATAATTCATAGGGAGTTGTGCTGCTAACCCCTAAACAGTGCTTACTTGGTGGTTTGAATCCACTGGTGGCTCTGAGGGAAAAAGATGAGTAATCTCTTGCCATGTGCTTTATAGCCTCTTTAAAACCCACTAGATGGTCAGCTGTGAGTTGATTCTGTTTCAACAGCAATGACTGAGGGCAGTTTTAATGAATTTCACAGTGGCGAGAAGCTGCTCTACAATCCCAAAGGCACATAGTTCAAATCCACCAGCTATTGTATGGGAGAAGGATGGGCAATCTCTTCCGGTGAGATTAACTCCTCTGAGAACCCTCCAGAGGGTCAGCTCTGGGTGTGTTCTGACTCTATGGTACACACCACCACCACCACAACAACAACAACAACATCATTGGGACATTGGTACCAGAAGTCAGGAAATCAAAAGCCATGTTGTATTTGGAAAATCTGCTGTCCGAGATGTCTACAAAGTGCTGAAGAGCAACAATGTCAGCTTATAGATTAGGGTGCACCTGATCCAAGCCACAATCTTTTCAGTTACTTGCTATGCATCTGAAAGTTGGACAATGAATAAGGATGATAGAAGAAGAATAGATGCCTTTGAGTTGTGGTGTTGAAGAATATTGAATGTCACAAGGAGTGCCAAAAAACCAAATAGGTCTCGGGGAAGGTGCAACCAGGGTGCTTCTTAGAGGTAAGGATGGTGTAACTAACTTCCTTTCACATACTTTGGACATGTTGTTAGGAGGGGCCCATCCTTGGGAAAAGACATCATGCTTGGAGAGGTGGAGGGTCAGTGAAGGAGGGGAAGATGCTCAACAAGATGGATTGACACAGTGACTGCAGCAATGAGCTCAAGTTTAGCAGAAACGGTGAGGATGGCACAGGATAGAGCAGGGTTCATAGCTGTTCATACGATAGCTGTGAATTGTAGTTAACAACACCTAACGACAACACCATGAACTTAACTGCTTCACATGTTCATTTTGCCTGGTTCCTGGGCCTGAAAACATTTGACTTTAAAACATCAGTCTTGCTTTACAGTAGAAGGAAGTGGAACACTGAGGCACAGAGAGCTACTTATGCAGTTAGTATGAAAATCAGAACCAGATTCAATGTGCTGAATATAATTTCAGAGTCTGGTAGATGTAAGATTTTTTAGACGTGTTGATAGAAAGGAGATATGAACTATGCCTCTAAGGAATTTTCGATCAAGAAAAATATTTTGCATTTAACATTTTATTTGTTAAGTAAGCCCAGTAGTTGGACTTAGCTTTACATAGTTAAACATCAGCAATCAGTTAAAGCAGGTTTTCTTCAAGGCAGAGATGCTGAATCCAAGAAATTAAATTCTAGCATCATTCTGGAATGCAAAAGTGTTTTAATAAAGGAGATGCCATATTAATTTAAATATAGTTAGATGGATGTATTTGGAAACAAAAGGGTGTATTTATAAACAATTTTTATCTTAAGGGTGTGTATATGTGTTTGGCTGAGGGATAAATCTGAATGTACTTTTTTCATATCATCTATTTTTTCATACCCTCTATTAATTAATAATTGGGTTTTTCCTTATTGAATAATATTTGCACTGGGCCATTCCTTTTATTTGTGGTGTTCCGTTTTCTTTATAAGGAGAAGTTTCAGGTCAGTCATTTCACTTCTATCCTCACCTCCTATTCTGTCAGCCACAGTTACTGCCTCGGATCATATCTGTTAACATTGATCTTAGTATCATGCTCTGTCCTTTGGCCTCAGCTGTTTAGAGCAAAAATATTAAATCAGAGATACAATTTCTGGAAAATTCTCAATACAATTACTTAGTTTATATCAACTTATTACAACCAAATCCATGTTACCATGATTATTAGCAAGTACCAACCTGCTGGAGAAATTTATAGCAAGTAGAAAGATTTATCTTCTGGATTTCAAAAAATAAAAACTAACACCCCAAAGGAAAATATTATTTGTGGGGCAGCAGCAATATTTTTACTTGTGTGAATTCCCTACTTTTCACTAGTACTCATCTGTCCTTGTCCCATTAAAATGATAAACTTGCCAGCCCAATATCTTTATCTTTTGTGATTGGGAATTGGAAGATTAGTGGGGAAAAGGGAGGAGTAGACAGAGAGAGAGAGAGAGAGAATGAGGTGGGGGTGGGGAAAGAGGGGAAAGAGGGAGGGAGAAAGGGAAAGAGAGAGAAAGAGAGAGATAAATAAGAATTTTGAAGAACTGCCTTATGCAATTGTGCTTTTATGTAAGGTGACAGCCTGGAAGCTCCTATTAGTTGCCATGCTTCCTGTTGTTGTTGTAGCGATCTTATGAACAGATCTGAACCCTTCCTACCTGTGGCATCTTCACCATCTCTGATACACTTGAGTCCGTTGCTGTAGTCATGGTGCTAATGCAATCAACACGGTGCTAATGCTCATTGGAAATCTTCCTCGCTTTCATTGATAATCCACCTTTCCAAGCATGATAGTCCATCCCCAGGAATTGTGTCTCCTAGCAACATGCCCAAGTATGAGAAACAAAGCTTCATCATCCTTGCCTCCAAGGTGCACTCTGGCTGCACCTTTTCTAAGATATGTATGTTTGTTCTTTTGGCAGCCCATGGGATATTCAGCACTCTTCTCCAACACCACACCACCATGAAAGGCATCAATTCTTCTGTCATTCTTATTCATTTATTGTCCATCTCTCAGATGCATAGCGAGTAATTGAAAAGATCATGGTCTGAATGAAGCACAGTTTTTTCTTCTAACTGACGTCATTGTTCTTTGGTATTTTGAAGAGATCTCTGACTATAGACTTACCCATAGCAATATGTCTCCTCATCTCCTGACTGCTGGTACTAAGGTTGTTGATTGTCAATCCAAGCAAGGTGAAATCATTGACAGTTTCAATTCTTTCTCCATCTATCATGATGTTGTCTATTGGCCCTGTGGTAAGGACTTTTGTTTTCTTGATGTTGAGATGCAATCTATGCTGAAGTCTTTGATCCTCTGTAGCAAGCAGTTTAGGTCCTCCTCTCTCTCAGCAAGCAAGGCTGTGTCATCTGCATAACACAGGTTGTTGAAGAGTCTTCTTTCAATTTTTCTGCTATATTCCTCTTAATAGAATCCATCTTTACAAATTATTTGCCCAATGAACAGGTTAAATAAATATGGAGAAAGGATATATCCTTGACATATACCCTTCCTGATTTTAAACCATGCAGTATACTCTTGCCCTGTATGGAAAACAGATTCTTGATCTAGGTATAGATTTTGCATGAACACAATTAAACATTCTTCTCAACGTTAGTCATAGTTTGCTGTGATCAAATACCTTTCACAGTTAGTAAAACACAGCTAGACATTCTTCCAGTATTCCCTGCTTTCAGTCAGG